GCGGAACTATCCTAGTGTTAATGAATCTATGGCTGAGTGTTGGCTGAGTGGATCTAGTCTAGAGTGGTCAGTGGATGGATATAGTCTAGTTTTGCTAGAGAGTGAGCAGAAATAGAATAGTGTTGCTACTGTGTGAGACAAAATAGCCAGTTGCTTATTAGTGAGAGTTCAGCTGCTAATAAGGGAATAGAGATAGTGTTGCTAATTAGTGAATAGAAATAGTCTAGTTGTTGCTAGTCAGTGAGGAGAAACAGCCAGTTGGTAATGAGTGATATTTATTCATTAGGGACACTAGAATATTTATATTCACTCATTAGGGACACTAGACTATTTATATTTACTCACTAGGGACACTAGACTATTTCTATTCACTCATTAGGGATTCTAGACTATTTCTAGTCACTCATTAGGGACACTAGACTATTTATATTCACTCATTAGGGATTCTAGACTATTTCTATTCACTCTTTAGGGACACTAGACTATTTCTATTCACTCATTAGGGACACAACCTTTTCTATTCACTCATTAGGGACACTAGACTATTTCTATTCACTCATTAGGGACACTAGACTTTCTATTCAATCTTTAGGGACACTAGACTTTATATTCACTCATTAGCAACACTAGATTCTTTCTATTCACTCATTAGGGACACTAGACCTTTTCTATTCACACTTTAGGGACACTAGACTTTTTCTATTCACTCATTAACAACACTATTAACACAACATTAACAAGACTATTTCTATTCTTTCAGTAGGTACACTAGACTATTTCTATTCACTCATTAGGGACACTAGACTTTTTCTATTCACTCATTAGGGACACTAGACTTTTTCTATTCACTCAATAACAACACTAGACTATTTCTGTTCAATCACTGGGACACGACTATTTCTATTCACTCATTAGGGATACTAGACTATTTCTATTCTTTCAGTAGGGACACTAGAGTATTTCTGTTCACTCATTAGGGCACTAGACTATTTCTATTCACTCATTAACAGCACAAGTTTTTCACAGAAATCTGCAGGGATATTTCTTCACATCTCCAAAGTTCAGTCTGGTTGCATTTTCTGCTTCTCACAATCCAAATTATCGAACACATTCAGTGGTGTTGAGGTCTGGACTCTGGGGAGGTCAGTCCACTGTTCTGAGAACACCAGCAGCGTCTTTGTGTTATTTGTAAATTATCATTATTTTTGTCTAAGTGCTGTTTATCAGATAGTAGTGTTGTAGTGCTCTACATCAGTCTCGAGATTGTACCTCAGACACCTTGTCTGAGGTGACAGAAAAATAAACTTTCTCCTATAATTATTGGATAAAAACAAAATTGTCAAACAAAAAATAGTCATTTCTTTACATAAATAAATCAAATCTGTTTGCTGTCGGTTGAAATTATAATTGATCCTTTCCATGATGGCTTAACTGGGCATTATTTGTTTGTCGTTCCAAAATTCAAACATTGCTAAGGGCAGATAGGAATGTTATTACTGTTTTCATTTAATAATAAAAATGTATTTGGTTTACATTCAGTTTAGGTTGTGATTCTGAATAAGTTTTGGAGAAGAGACAGAGAATAACCTCACCATGCTTTGCTTTCAAGAGTTACAATGCAAAGTTGGACAAAGACTCTATTACAATAGTTATTTTTCATATTTTATGCTATAGATAATTTAATGTAATGTCTTGGCCACTCTTGTTCTTGATCTTAAGTCAGTCTCAGTGTCTTCAAAGTCTTGGTCTTGATTCAGACTCAACTTTTGTGGTGTTGATTACAACATTCTCTAATGGGGAGAGTTTTGGTGGTCTACCAGGTCTTCCATTGTTGTTAGAGCCCACTTTGTATCTTTTAATCCATTTTTTAATTAACTTCATAAGCTCTTGTTTTTTTCACTTATTCTCATTTGGCTTTCTCCTTCCTTATGAGATATCTCCTCAGAAATATCTCCTGAAAAATGAACAACTTGCACTTAATGGCCATTTTGAATGGAAATGAAAGAAACATAATAAGGTGGTCTCTGAGTACCCACCCACAATGCACAACCCTGTATTAGATTTGATATGATTTTCAATTCTGATGTCAAGATTTGAATTACAATATTTACTTGTAATATTGTATGCTAATATTTACAGCCCCAAAAAACAGTGTGACTTCAGAAAAAAACAGTCCAGTCATTGGATCATTGATATGTACAATGCAGAAGCCCCGCCCACTTTACCAGGACAAATCCAGATGCCTAGTTTTGATCAGTGGCAGTGGTTTCCACAAAAGATGGTAAATAAGACACCTTCAGAAGAGACCCAAGGGTGTCTTGGTGATACAGTTTTAAATTTCAATACATTGTTTCAAACATTTGTTTTTTGTTATTAAATAATTTATAATAGTTCCCGAATAATTAATAGTAGTTACTGGATATTTAGGAATGATAACTGAACAAGTAATCTAAAGTATAAACTGTTAACGAGGTCATTTTGAAGGCTGCAAACAATGTTTCTTACTGACTCTAACTGATCTGGACATCTTGGACGATGAAAAGCAACTCTGTCACTGTTTTCCAGCTCAATGCTGCACCCTTGATGCTGTTCTTGATGCTGATGAAACCAAGTTAGACCAACAACCAGTCTCAAACCTACCCATTCACCAAAAGAATGCCAGTAACTCTGTTGATGTCCTCCTGAGCCTTTTGAAGTTGCTGCTGATTGAGTGCACAGCCCAAACATTGTTATACCCAACTACATCATTCCTTATAATGGGGGACTGTCCAACTCTGTTGAGCACTTCACACCCAAACATGACAAAAACAAACCCAAGGCTTCAATTATTAATAAGTCCTTACACATAAAAAGAATACTCATTAGACCAAAGTGCCACAGATGCTTTAAAAGGCAAGCTGTACAAACCCTTCAAAGTCTACACTGACCACTGAAATTTGCCAGCTCTCTTGCAAGTTCACTGTAGCACATATAGAAATAGGCAACTAATTAAATCACTTGCCAAAACTGGACTGTTTGACTTCATGCATCAACCACGTTCCAGCAAGCAAGAAAGAGGAGATATGGTCATATACTTTTAAAAATAAAAGTGCTGGAAAGGGTTCGTTGGAGTGAAACCATAGATTCTATAAACTGTTAGGAATAAAGGTTCTGTGCAGGTACATTTTTCACTGATTAAGGCACAAACAATGTAAATGTGCCCTCAAAGGTACAGCAGTCATTTTAAGGTCCAATTGTGTACCTTAAATAAGTTTTCCAGGTGAAAAGTACATATTTGTATTTTAAAACAGGACAATAAAATAAAAGGCCTGGAGACGAGACGGGGTGTGTGGAGTCAATACATCTTAGAAAATATAATTTAAGTGAATTATGGTACAATTATGTTCCCTGACCAAAGGTACTGAGATGTACCCTTGAGGGGACCACCCCAGTGACAAGAGGGGACCTGCCCCAGTGACAGTTTCATACCTTTTCTTCTGAGAGTGTAAAGAACCTTTCAATGGATGGTTCTTTAAAGAACCATTTGCATAAATAGGACGTGTGAGTGCAAAGACCTTTTTTCAAGTTTGAAGAATTGCAAGACCAAGCCAAGAGCTGTTTAAAGGGTAATTCCACCCAAATTTTCTCTGCATAATTCAGTCAGTGTCATTCAGAGTGGTTTGATGTAAAATGGTTCATTGTAGAGAAACAGACTCATATTTCTTTACAGGGCTGGTAATAGGAACCAGAGGTCACAACACAAATATAGCCGTTTTATTTACTATCCAAAACCACAAGTGTGCCTACTTATGTCTTCTGAGTTTTTATTTATAATGTTGATGATGGTAAAATAGTGGTAAATAAGTTTTCTTCTGGGACTATTTTGCCATACAACACTCTGCATGTACCTCTCTGCCATAATATGCCATAATAATATATTTGAAAATACATAATCTTATCTCAAGCAATCAGAAAACAATGTCTTAGGCATCAGGCAGCGTATTCAGTGTACCACTGTCTTCCATGTGGCAGAATAGGGTTCAGCTCCCCACCTGGGCAATTATACCAAGCCACATTGGTAACAATTTGTGGCTGCCACTTGCTTCATGTTGCAGAAGGGGCTTTAGATGTGTGGTATTGTTCATTTGTGGTGAATCTTCCATAGAGAGAAGTCCGGTGGCTAGAGGTGACTTTTCCTGCTTATCGGGCTGTTTTTCAGTGGCCTTTTCTGCCCTGTTCAATAAAAAGAGCATTCCTTAAGCACAAATAATGGCGTCCTGTGATTCTTCTCCACCAAGACACCACAATATATTTGCCTTTCCTGTAATATGATACAATTATAAGCTACTCTGGGTAAAAGTGTCTGCAAAATGCCATTAATGTTAATACCAGTGGCCTCAGATGTTGTTCAAGTGGGGTAAAAATAGCAAACAAATGCTTTTGATAGGCCATGTAAGCTCTCAGTGATATCCAAAGCCTTAAGTTACTCTGGAATCAGCTTCTTCAGTGGAATTTCCATCTAATTTTAATGTGGAAGTTTTCAGATTAGCACATTCAACTTCTATGTTAAACCAGTAACGTCAGTCAATTCAATGCCTTTTGTCACAAATTGCTTAAATTTAGTTTATACTTTATCAGGATTTCTGAAGCTTTAGGATTCATGCTTGAGCACTGACTCGAGTTCTCCTGTTAACTTGCTGTTTTTCACAATTTTGCACCACATGATTAAATTCCCGCCATCTTCAAAACGCAGCTCAGCACTGAGCACCGAGTCTAATCTAGAAGTGGCGTGACCAGCACAGGAAAACAAAACTACGTTTTAAGCTTCGCCAATGTTTTCCCCAAAGCTTATTATGACTTTAAACAGACGTTCATAATCAGAAGCAAAAAAGAAGGGTTACGTTTAATGCGTACTTTAGGAAAATATTAATTTAATACGCAGTTAAGTCAACCACCATAGCCTGCTTTATGGGCTTGCTTGTGGCTGAGTTTAGGACTAAACCATCTCCGGAGGGGGGACACGACACGACGTTGTCGGAGCGTGTGCGGGTTTTGAATCAACGACACATCTCGTTCATTAAAAATCGTACTATTTATTTTTACTTACATAAATTTTAACTGTAAACCGCTGTCAATCCCAGCGTTTAAAGGACGACATAAAGTACGATTCGAGGACCCCCTAAAACAGGACGGCAGTTGAGCGCGCCGGTCTGCGCCGTAACGTTATATGTGGGAGATTTTTTAAGGCGAGCAGTGAGAAATTAATGCGGAATAGTTTTTATCAGCGTTTTCCTCCTTTTTACTTCACAGTATCACCATGTCGGTGGCTTTCGCACCTCACAGACAACGCGCCAAGGGCGACATTACACCCGCGGGGATTCAAAAGGTGACTGTTTTAACCACAAAACGATGCTAGTGGGTTGCTATGGCCAGGTAGCCAGCTGGGTATCTAACCGAGCTAAGCTAACGTTAGCTGACGTACTGCACTAAAACCGCCCACAACAAGGCGCCTCATATTCGGCTTAAACGAATGCAGCGTTTCCTAAAATGTTGTTTTTTATCCTCACAAATGCTAACTGGCTCACTGAAGGCGTAGTTTTCCCTTTCGTGGCGAATTGAACGCGCTAGCGATAGCTAGCTGTCTTTTGTTAGGCGAGGCTGAAGTCGGCTTCCTATTCGCCAGCTTCTTGTTCGAATTTTTCCGTTCCACCTTAAATAGCGCATCGGTTGGGTTCTGACGCCTGAGGCGCCACAATGTAATTACTGCGGCATTTAAGGTGGAACGGGAAAATTCGAACAAGAAGCGGATTTAAGCTTCGTATTTGTTAGCTAACAGTTAGCACCCAGCAGCAAAACCGCCGCCGTCCGTGCCAAAGCCCGGTCGTTTATCTCTCTGCGTGGCGGCTTATTTGTTTTTTTTGTTTGTTTTTTTTTTTTTTTTTTTCCTGTTGAACGTGATAAACAGCGCTGTCAAATAACGTTAAGTTACCGGAGAGGATTTGAAACGAAAGCACGAATTCAGTCTGTGGCAAGCTAGCGGTAGCATTAGCTGCTAGCGGCGGTCTACTTGTTGCCTTATGTGTGTGTATCGGGCTTTGGCAGTGCTGGGGTATTGACATCAACACGTATTACAAGCTGTCCAAAAGTATTAAGACACCAATTCTAATTAATCAATTCAGCTACTTTAGGCTGCGCCCAGTGGACACAAGCTTCATTAAAAAGCACTGACAATGGGATCCTTTTAAAGAGAAACACTACCGATTTTCTGTCTCTGCGTGATTAAATGGTTAAGATATAAACAAAGTCTTTCAGAGTGGTTTGATGTGAAATACTCCCTTCTAGACAAACTTAGCTAACTTACTGAGTCAGAGTTCACAGTGGGGATGATGGGAACCAGACGTCTGTAGTGTTTAATGCCGCTAGAAGCTATCTTGCAAAAAGTTATCACATGGTTATGAAGCTGCTACCTGATGAGACATTGTTTTCATTGTTTACCCAAGGTTTTGCAGTAGGGAACGTATATTTTTAAGTCATTCATTCATGGGGGAGAGGTACATGTAACTCACAGGGTTGTGAGGCAAATTATCCCCTAAAGAAGAAAACATACTTTTCCAGATTTACCATTATTTGAGTAGTAAATGAAATGGCTATATTCTCACGGTACATATTGTGTCCCCTGGTTCTTATCAACGCTGTACAGAAACCTAATTTGGCACGGTTCTTTACTGTTAATAATTTCACATCAGACCACTCTGAATGGCTTTGCTTACATCTCAACCTCTGAATTATACAGAAATTTTAAATAATTAGTGGATTTCCCCTTTAACACTCTTGATTTCAAATGAAGTGCCAGATGAGTTGTTGTCTACAAACGTTTGGGCATGTAACGTGTATTGAACATGACTGAAACAAAACTGGTTGGCTTGCTCAGGACTATCCTGGGCCCAATTTCCCAAAAGCATCTTAATATTAACATCATCTTAACGGGTACAGAGAGAGTTCACTGTGATGCTCCTTCTACTCCTTTTCTACCACTTAAAAATCATCTTTGTGCTGAGATGCTTTTGCTAAACCCAGCCCTGATCATTTCGTAACATAAGTTACCTTAATTTTGCTGTGCTGTACTATTTAGAAGAGGTTGTTCCCCTAATCTGTCTGTTTTATCCCTTCCAAATGTTTTGCAGGTGTTCAGGCTGTAATCAGGTCTTTAAACACAGAATACTTAGGTTTCCATTAGAGATGGCGTATCAGTGTTGATGGGTATTGGTATCTGGCCGATACTGCAGTAAATGCTAGAAATCAGAGGGGTGGAAGTGAACGAACCCGATCTAATCTTGTACGTGATATGACAAAACTAATTTTACTGTATCGTGTTGGCAGTGTGTTTCTTCTTTTGGGATAGTACAGAGTTTTTTTGAGTAGTTTGAGCATTATGACGTACTTTTAGATGCTACATTTAAGATATTAAATAATTCACGATCAAAAGCAGCTCATTTTAAAGCGTAGTAGTGTTTAAGGAAATAAAATATTGGCCTGGTATTGGATGATACTCAAGGTTTCATTATCGGTATTGGAAAGGTATCATGCCATCTTTTAAAGCTCCATGTTTGCTAGGGTTGTTTTGGGCATCTTTAAACCATTTACTGAGATTGATTTAAAGTGAAATTGAATAATATTTTCAAATGTCTGTTTTTTAACAGCTTCTCGATGAAAACAATCAGTTGATTCAGTGTATCATGGACTTCCAAAGCAAAGGAAAAACGGCAGAATGTTCACAGTGAGTTCCTCTTTAATATCTTACAACATAAACAGTTAATACATTGATATTCTTCGAGATGTAATTTATTGTTTTTTGACAATACAATCTCATGCACATCTGCATGTATGGCAGCTCAGGCAGGTGCTCCTCATGTATGTCAATGCTCTTTGTCAAGATGCCACAATGCTGTTGTGCTTTATGTTCACAGGTGATGGCTTTTGCTGATTGTGATATGCTGTTTAATGGCACTAAAACAATATACTTTGTACTCTGTTTGTCTTTACAGTTACCAGCAAATGCTTCACAGAAATTTGGTCTACTTGGCCACAATAGCAGACTCCAATCAGAACATGCAGTCTCTTCTACCAGCTGTGAGTACCAACGTTGTTTTTGTGTGAATTCCTCCAGTTTTTCGTCTCATCTAAAGATGGCCCAAAGCAGTCCAAGGGACATAAACACATACTGTAATGCAGTGGCTCTGAGTTCCAGTCCTTTGACTTCTACGGTCTCCACAATTTTGTGTTTGCTCTGCCTTAGCACACCTAAGACAGATCATAAAGGGCTTTATGTAACCCAGATACTGGATGAGTTGAATTAGGAGTTGGGCAGTGAGGAAACAAGAATATGCAAAGCTGATTTCAGAAACCGCACACTTCTGTTGAGAACTGGGGTTCAGAAGCACTGATGTAATACCTTCTCTTGCACTGACAACTGTGAGGGTTTATTAAAAGGGTCTAACGTTTTCTTGTTAATTCCAGCTGATAGTTCTGTCCAAACAGCCAGAGTGGAAAAAGAAGTGTGCTGTTTATCCTAAGATTGAAGATAGAAAGAGTTCTATGTGTGCAGTATCACCTAAGTTTATTCCAGGGTGTTGAATGCATGTGAAGATTTTGAGATTAGCTAGAATATTGCTGTTTATTACAATTAGCAGAGATCCAGTAATTGATGGAGTGAAGTGGTCCCTGAAATCACGTGCCAAAATAAGTCTTGTCACAGACTGACACAAGACTACGATTGGAATATACACATAGATGGTACTACGTTCATGGAAGAAATGCATTCATAATTTAACATAACATGCTTTAGGTGTCTTTGGTATTTACTATGTTCTGTAGTTGAGGTCTGCATAGATAAGATTCTAGATGTGCAAAGTGCAGTTGCAGCCGCGGCGCCTTAAAACCTAATTTGATTTGGTTATTGGAAGTCTGATTAACGGAGCAACTCCCTCCACAGCCACCCACCCAGAACATGCCCATGTCAGGGGGAATGAATCAGAGCGGCCCCCCTCCGCAGCCTCCCCATGGCCACAGCATGCCGTCAGACGGCCCCCCTGCTCCACACATGCAGAACCAGATGAACGGCCAGATGCCTGGTAAGAGAGCGCTGTCCTACTCTGCAGCTCTGTCTTCATCTTGCTGTCGCTTAGCAACGCTGCGGGCTCCCCTCTGAATGAGCGCTGGGTGATGATGTCACCAGCTCTTTGTGCTCTGTGCTGTTTTGGTTGCACTGTTGCACCAGATCTGTGTTCGGTATAATTTTAGATCAAGTTTTTTCATACATAAAGCCTGGTTTCTCATATGCTATGAGATTTAATTCAATAGTCAATAGTACCGCTGAAATATATTTTCAAAGAGTGATCTGGCTATGCTAAGTGATCACCTAAGACATGTTTGGTGTCTCTGTGGTGTTAACCAGTCCTCACTGGTAGCTTAGCCACTGATCTTAAGGCTAATAAACGCAACCAAGCTGGCATAAGTGTAACCTCTCAACTTGGTCGTCAAACAGCAAAGTAAAGAAAACAGTGATTCTGTCTTTATTCAGGACCAAATGGATGCCAGAGACAAGTTTTTCAGCCGAAGAAGATAAGAATGAAAATAGTGTCTCTGCATAGCCAGCTGCTTTGCTAACTTTAGCTTTTTCTCATTGTTTCTGTTGTTTGGCTACTACCACTGTAATGATTATTTTAATATAGCTCCTACTGTTAAATGGTTGAAGTAAGTTATTTGACTTCCTAGCAGCAGTGTTACCTATCTGGCTTACTCCTGCATTCACCAGCTAAGGAAAGAATTAAAAAAAGAATAGTCTGCCTCCAAAAAAGTCTACATTTTTCACATAGTCATCACAAACCTAGTGTGTTTTCTTTCCAGGTCCCAACCACATGCCCATGCAGGGCCCTGGTCCAAACCAGCCTCCCACCATGCCCAGTGGCTCCATGAACATACCTCCCAGTAGCCACGGCTCAATGGGGGCCTACAATCACGCCGTGCCCTCTTCGCAGGGCATGCCCAGCCAGGGCCAGATGAACATGAGCCAGGGCCAGCCGATGGGCAGCTATGGACCCAGACCCAGCATGAACATGCAGCCCAACCAAGGTGCTCTCTACTTTATGTGATTAACGTGACTTGATGTAGATTGTGGAAAGTAATGTGTACATTACCTTCTGTCATTCACTATTACTGATGCACCTGTGAATGTGTACTCTCACCAGTGTGATAATGGCATCTCAATGGGCTGGATTTAAGTTTTTCTAACCTTGCCATTAAATTTTTTAAATTTATTTTTTTCTTTCTGTTCAGGTCCAATGATGCACCAGCAGCCTCCCTCTCAGCAGTACAACATGCCCCCTGGTGGTGGCGGGCAGCATTACCAGGGTCAGCAGAACCCAATGGGTATGATGGGCCAGGGTAACCATGTGATGGGACAGAGGCCCATGCCTCCATACAGGCCACCTCAGCAAGGTTTGATATATATTTACTGTCTCCCTGTTATAGGCAGGCTCTTCTGTTGCAGTACAAGTAACAAAAAAAATAACATTTTTTCCCCCTTTTTTCCTCATATTAGCATAAATCCATTACAGAACTATATTCTGATCTGTGTATTAATGTTTGTTGTTGTAGAGGATCACAGTTGTATTGATGTTTCTTTACAATATATTCTTGTGGCTCTAAACTAAAGATCTGTATTGTTTTTGTAGGGCCTCCACAGCAGTACCCAGGCCAGGAGGACTACTATGGAGAACAATACAGCCATGGAGGCCAGGGGGCACCAGAGGGTAGGAGACCTTGCCATCTGTATTGTCCTTATCATCTTGTCATACCCTTTACGAATCCCCTGTAGAATCTTTATCACGTGACACTTTATGTACACCCTGTACACCTGCACCTCTCATAGGTCTACTCCTGTGCTTTAATCTGTCAAGCTCCATCTTGGCCTGTTCATGTCAGTAGAGCTCCATGTTTGCCTGTAGGTTTATTGGTGCCATAAGAGTGTCTTACTTTAGGATTAGATGAGTTTTGTGCTTTCCATGCTTTGTGCAGTGCTGTGGCTTTAAAGGGCATTTCAAGTCCATTTGTAAAGGGACATTGCAAGTTTTTGTTTTTTTTTCACATGCTAAGAATACCAAGATTGGAGAAAACCTTGTTAAAATCATATTGAAGATTCAAGATCAATTTTATTATCCATGGGAAGAACGGAAATTTGGCCTTTTGACCCGTAAACAGCTCAAATATACAACAGACATGATTCCAAGACGAACATTATGTACATCATATACAACAGATTGTGTAGAGGAGTAAAGCTTTTAGCCTAGTAGTGGGCTAACAACATGTATGCCTAAAGATGTGCTGGATTAGTGCAATTTCAGTGTGAGGGTATCGGTGCAGAACAGCATGAGAGTGCCACCTGGTGGTCTTTGAGCTAACTGACACAGAAGATTGTAAGTGGACAGTTATCCTAGCTTGTGAATTCCTGATATAGGTTGATGCCCACAGGTGTAGCTTCAGCTGAGGTTCTGAACTGGGACTTCGGTGTGCTTTTGTAGAAGACTGATCTTTGTAGTTGCGTTGTCTTGAGGCCAAGAGTATTTGGGTGGAAACATTTGTTTTGACACAGTAACAGTGGTCAGTATGTACATTTTCTGTCACCCTAACGTATACAGCAGTTGGTCTCATGCTTATTGTCATTACTATTGTTGTGGTTCTTATTGTGAGTTAGTGTTTTTTGCCATTTGTTTTATTTACTCAATAAGACATTTTAAAAAGGAGCTAGGAATTATAAAATAATCAGGAATAATGCAGTGAATTTATTCTTTCCCTCTCTTGTGTAGGAAACTCTCAGTATGCTCAGCAGCAAGAAGCCTACCAGCAAGGTCCTCCCCAGCCACAGGGCTACCCAACCCAGCAGCAGTATCCAGCGCAGCAGGGCTACCCGGGCCAACAGCAGGGTTATGGTGAGTTCTGCGGCACCCGGAGCGCTTCCAGAGTAGAGCGTGCTTAAAACTGCACAGCATCAAGATAATGCGAGGTGGAGGTAGTTGTCTGATTTAGTTCGGGCATTGGCAGGATTAGGGTGATTCTACTTGGATATTAGGAGTGTCTTCTCTTGCTTTGCACTCTGAGAAACAGATGCAACGTGTCTTTTATCTTCACTTTTTCTACATTTAAAAATGTAGAAGGGTAGTCTGTGGATGTGAGAGAGCAAAATGTGTTGAGGAGGAAGAAAGTGAGTGATGAAGTATTACATACTGTATGTAGAATGCCTTTCTCACTGTGGACGGGAGAGGTTATGGCTCCAAGCACCGCAAGTGGGAGTGGGAACTCTTCGTCTTCATCCCTCGCTCCTTTTTTTTTTCCTTTCTTTCTTTTCCTACCTCCTCTAATCCTGTCAGCTTGTCTCTCCCTCTTTCTCTGGCTGAGCCGGAGGCCTCTCACATCTTAATAATGAGCTGCTGGAGAATCGCGCACGCACACACTTGCACTGCAAAGCTACGGGCACCATCTGGAAGACGCTCTCCCGAGCCCCCACAAGGTTAAGATGGTCCAGCGCACCTAATGATCCTGCGTGGGCTCGTTTTGAATGAGGAGAATCAGAGCGGGCCCAGTGTGTTCCGTAAATGGCCGAGCGCTCGGCCGGCCCACGTCAGTCTTAATGAGCCTGGGCTTTTTTAAATCAAGCTTTATGGACTCCTTGATGTTGGGCCACATTAGCAGGGCAGCATGCTCCTTGTGGGTCTGCTGCCATAATTATATGCAGTGCTGTTCGGAGCTGGCCTTCCTCCTACTACTACTCCTCTTCCTCTTGCTCATCAGAGCCAGTATACTGATTGATTTGCTCTGGGGCAGCGTTGCATTTGATTCCCAGATGCCATTATTTTGAATAGAAGTAAGCTTGTTTGACTTTCATATGTAACTTCAACAAACAATTAGGAAAAGGCACAAAACGTGTTTGAGAGAGCTTGGGAGTTGCGTTCAGTTCCCAAAAGCCACCGTTTAAAAAGAGACAATGTTGACTTTCTGTTGCCTACACAAACTATACTTATTTAATGTGTTGGTTTGCCAAAAAAAATCTTATTTAGGCAATTTTCCCTCATAACCCAAATGTAGTCAGTCAGCCAAGACATTTGTGATGTCTGAAGTTTGTTTCTTTAATCTGTAGTTTTGCATTGGAGATATAAAGTAGTGATTGCTTATAGCCTATCTGTTTGCGTTGTGAAAACTTCATGCCTAAACTATCACATACTTGCGTGAAACTGCATTAAGTTAAGCAAGTCTCCTTAAGATTACTTGTGTTTTTTTGGCACTATAGGATATGCAGTGACCTATAAAAATGAACAAATGTACAATGCGTTGTTAAAAACATTGGTATTGTTTGTCTTCCAGGCTGAAATTTGTACCTTTTGTCCATTTTTAGAATGGGCACAGGCAAAAGTGGTGGTGGGGGTTTTGTGCTGGAGTAGTGATTAGCTCACTAGTGCAGTACTGACCTTGATTATCTTCGGCTTGTCTTCTAGGGCCCTCTCAGGGTGGTCCTGGACAGTACCCCAATTACCCGCCGGGCCAAGGGCAGCAGTATGCAGCCTACAGGCAGCCTCAGCCTGGACCTCCACAAGGCCAACCGCAGCGCCCATACGGCTATGACCAGGTAAGGCAAATGGGGAAAGAAATTAGTTAGGGCCTTTTAATATATTTGCATAGATCAGCTTTCCTATGGAACATGATCCTGATTTTCAGTGGTAAGTAAACTGTTTGCATTCTTCAGCACTGGTCTGTTCAACCCAGTCCTTAACTAAGCCAGTCCACTTTTTCATTATGTTCCAGTTCTGAATTGGCACATTTTTCAGGCTCAGCACATGGCTTGTTTGTAAAAATACTAATATTGTCTTATTACTGGAAACAAGCTTATTGCAGCAGCCTTGCTCAGTAGCTGTTCCAGCTCCCAGTAAAACATAGCCAGGTAATCAGGGGCTGTGGAACAGACTGTCTGACCCAGGTGAGTTCAGTACTGGAGCAGAATAAATGAGCAGACTAGCAAATTACCTCCAATACGGACTGGGCTGAAGCCTTACTTGCTTAGAGGGATCGAGTTTTGTTCTGTTTTAGAAGCTGATGGAAGCACAGAGTACTTTTCCTGCTGAAAGGGTGCATGGTAATCACACTGAGCTTTGGGTTTAATTAAAGGGTTAAAATCACTGTACAGAAAGCTCTTGATCGTCACAAAACCTGGTTCTGTTATTGCTGAGCCACACGCACACAGAACTCGGTGCTTCCTGTATTTCTCAGTGGCCCTCAGTGAGAGGCCACAGTGTTCCTTTCATATCTCTATCTTTGAACATTCAGGGGCACATGAGGAAATAGCGGACCCAGTATTTCAACCCCTGACTAGATCTGTAAGAAGCAAAGGTAATGGTTGCCATGAAGAATGCCATTGTCAAATCTAGACGTTTTGACTCCTGGCCTTTTTTTTCCCCCTCCCCTCCCTTCCCTCCTGTTCTGTTTTCTTCATTTTCTGATCTTTTATTTTACATTCTTTTGTAATCAGGGGTCGAAATAATTCTCAGGTCCATTTTTTGAGGAAGATGACGTACTGGGCAAAACTGACTGGTTATAAATGATTGCTTTTGTGGCTTGTGATTAATTATGACTAACGTAAAAGTTGCAAAACATCCAAACCCTGAACACTGTGGTGTCCGTCTACTCATTAATTTTTCTAATTGATTGTTCAAAGCGTTAGAAGATTGTCAAGCCATTTTTCGACCCCTGTTTAGAAATCTCCATGTAAAATACTAAAAATGCTGAAAATGGCAGATGGAAAACAACCCAAAAAAAATTTTCCCACTTCATAATTTGACATGTGCTCGCTCTCTGTCTTTCTTGATCGATCTCTCTCTCTCTCTCTCTCTCTCTCTCTCTCTCTCTCTCTCTCTCTCTCTCTCTCTCTCTCTCTCTCTCAACATTCACATGTCTCATTCATGGCATTGCTGCCACCTACTGGTTAAATATAGTCAACAAACTGTTAAAGAAACCTGTGAATGCTTCCAACACCTGATGTAACTAACGTTGTCACAGCTGACGAAAGGTCAGAATTCACCTATATGACACTACCTTGTCTAACGACTATTTATTTACACTGTATCTAATCTTAACTTTGAATTGTGATGATTGAATTTCAGATTTTCAGAGGTAGGATTTACTAAGCATGTTCTCAGTCGGTCTCAGTTAAAACTACAAAGTAATACTTTTAAAGTAGCTCTTGCTTTTTCTAATTTTCTTTGTCAGTAATGCTAAGTTTTTATTATGATCCTGCTCATACCAATGTCAAGATATGTTGAAGCTTTTTGTTCTTATGGACCCCAAAAAAAGAGGATGCTATCAAAAAGATCTCAGGGGAAAAGCGTCAGCCTCTGTTAACGTCATGCTCTTCTGTTTTGAACAAAAACTGCTGTTTTCACATACGTTGACATTTGTATAGGTGCCGCTCATAATAAATGCACTTTAAAAATGCTGAAGCGCTACGTGAATAGCCAGCGTGAAGCCTCTGTCAGCATCGAGGAAGGTATTTGAGGATAAAGAAAAGAGAAGCTCACACTCTCCTGCGTTCTTGTTGCTTGTTCACAGGGTCAGTACGGCAACTACCAGCAGTAAAGTCAGCCGCTATTCTTCCTGTTCGAGCGTCTCTGTGGCGCTGTCTTTCTGGACCTGCGGAAGGGCTACCGCTCTCTGAGACTTTCAACCCTGTTCCACTTCACTTTTCTAAATTATGAAGAGATGGATGCCCTCTTTATTTCACCCCCAGACTGATGCCTGCTCATATACACGTTCACAAAAATCCTCTTCATATCCACACATTCAGTGACTCATACTGTCTGCACTCTTGCTTTTAATGGTATTGTTTGGTAGCCATATGTAAGTCATGTTGGTTTGTCCCCACACTTTCATTCTGATTTTTGCAGAGGTTCTTTGATTCCACACAATGTCTGACAAGACCAGTACATTGTATGAAATACTACATTGATGACGGCCAGGCTCATGGTCTGTAATGAGACCCTGCAGTGGTGCCAGCAGTGCAGGTTACGATCATATGGCGAGCTATTTCAGCAGTGAGCCTGAAACGTGAAAGTATACTTGCTGTACCTTTTTAATGAGGCTTTATTCGGTTCCAGTTCCTTCACAATCCTGAGATCTCTATTTAACCAGATTCTTCAAAAGCCATCTCGAAAGCAGCAATGCCTTAAAGAGAAATCAGAGCTGCCTTACAGAATAATTTCCACAACCAGTGGGGGATTTTGATAAACTGCAGCATCAAGTCATGTTCCTGTTGCAGTGTGTTAGTAACCATCACTTCACTCCATCATGTGAAAATTTATTTAGATGAAGCAATAATAATGCTTGAGGAAGGCGGAGGGGCCCAGAGAGATGATCTTGCACAGGGAATATTCTTCTTACATGTCGAGGTCAAAGTTCTGTCGTGATGTACAAATGTATTTTATGTTTTCCCGATAGAGCTCTTTGTACTGAGGATTTGGAAACTTAGCTCTAAATATTGTACTTTTCTTCTTAAATGTGTCTATATTGGTTTCTTTTTTTTACCCTCTCAAAAATGTTGTCCCTTCTGTAGTTTAATGTCTTTGGTTCCTACCCACCATGCTGAACCTTGATTAAACCCATCTGCTACTCTGGTGGCTCGCATGTTGATTGTCCACAGGGGGCCACTTCGTTTTAAGTGCAACGACTCGGCTGTACATGAAATTTCCCCAAGAGTGGACAGTGAGGTGTGGCATTCAAATCGGGGTAACGGAACCGAGAGACGAGGGAAAATGGACTTGGAATTCAGTCATATGGCACCAGCAACTGTTTGCAGTTCTCATGATGTGGGGAACTTAATATTATTTTTTTTATTTCATTTGTTTTTGTTTGTTTCTTTGTTTTAATGATGAATTTGGTCTTTGGCCTTTGAATGTGAATATTCCAAGACTGTAACGTTACAGAGGTTTAAATAAAATTTGTCCTTTGCAGCATGTACAGCTTTTTTCCCCCCGTTTTCATATGCATCGTAGGCCATATTCACACTGGGTGTAAACATCTATCTTGAGTAATTTGATCACAAGTGGACTTGCATGTGTCTCAAATACATCTTCATTTGACCACTTATGATCAGATTTCGTGAATGGATGAAAGGTACAGCTCATGTTTCCTACGTCAGTCTATCACAGAGTTTGTTGATGGACAAAAGTGTCCCCGAAATCCTTGTTCATGTGCGTTACAGATTGTTAGATCTCATGGATTGTTCATTTACAGCTTGTTAACAAACAGGAGAGGAGACGAGGAAAGAGGTTACACAACTGCTTTTGCCTCTGTTGTGATTAGGCGAATCTTTTGTTGCTGTGGGGGATGCATTGGGATGCTTTAGCGTTCCAACTACAAACATTTGGTCGTATGCAGACCCTCTTCAGAAGGTGATTTGAGTGATCACATCATGTTTCTCCGAGAGGTGTTGTACCCCATAACGATCAGATTTCATGAGTAGGGGAAGGGTATCATGCCCGTTCTATTACGTCATTCTCTCTATGTTTGTCGACAGACAGTCCTTGTTCGTGTACATGTACGCGTTGTTAAAAATGTGTAGGTTTGTACTGTAGATTACAACTCGGACAGACTGGAAGACTTTAGAAGTCAAAGTACCTGTTATATGTCTTGAGTGTGTATTTGGCAAATATTTCTTCATTTTAGGATTCTCACTTAAAGCTACAATCAGTATGTTGTGGAACAGGACAAATTAACCCCCACCCCCTTGTAAACCTTTGAGTTCATGTCATATGGTCATGCCTTTAAAATAAGGTACTGATTGTAGCTTTGAAAAATTTATGTGAACTCCTAATGTGTAATTCTGAGCATGTACTTGTAAGAATTGAGTCCAAAGCCAGCAGTTACTACAGGTTGCAGCACCTGTAATTTTTTTTTTTTTCTCGCTTTGTTTTTTTTTTTTTTTTTTTGGATTTTGTTTGTTTTCCGGCTCAGAAAGGAGGGAGACAGTGGGGTTCCAGCTCAGAATGTATGAGTACATTTGTGCTAATGAGAAACATTCATTTGGTGCTCTTGTATCATGATGCAACTTAACGGTGCCATGACTGTCTCTGTTTTCACACCAATGTAAAGTTGTAAATCATTGTAACTGAACAAAACGGCTGAATAAATTATTGTAATTTGGGTTGTATTTTAATTGTGCTCTCATTTTGCTGCTTTTGTTTCTTGACAATTCCACATCAGTTAAAGGTCCGGTTTAAGATCTACTGTGTTTTTTTTTTGTTTTGTTTTTATTTGGTCTGTAGTTTTGCTTTGGAGATATGAGGCTAATGTAGCTAACAAGTAATGGAAAGTTATGCATCTTGCAGGAGCGGGGTGGGGGCGGCTATGTGCATTTGATTTTCACTTGAATCATTCCTTTAGAGCTAATGACAAAACAGTGTCATGGCCAGTATAGAATTAGCTGAATCTTATGGTCAATCTTGAATGCCTCTTCGCTGACCGGGCTTTATAATTGGAGGAATGATCAACATATTCCCTGTTTTGATGTTGTTACAAAACTGACTCTAAAATCTTTGACATGTGGCATACTGTGGAAAAGCCACTAGTGAAACATTCATGCAACTTTAGTTGCCTGAAACTTATACGAAACTTTAGTTGCATAATATAAAGCGTCCCGCAACTCACTTGAAACTGTTGCAGCAGTTGCATCTTTTTTCCACTCCTGTGAAGTTTCATGAAACAACCAAAACAGCAATAAAGCACCATATGATCACACCGAACAACAAACTTTAAAACTTTCACCAGATCAACAGACAAGAAAATGAGACAGAAGATGGTTTACTGGGTGGCTGAAAAGGAGACACAATACCAACCTCAATGTTGGTAGTTTTTCATTTTGTCAGTTTACTGAGCCATGCAGACAAAGCACCATTTCTGTAATCAGCTGCGATAACTAGCCAGCTAACACTAACAGCCGTTTAAATGGCTGTTTGTGCCAATGCTTATTGTTCTTTGTTAGCTTGCTGTTATAGTGATTTATGTAGCTAGATTATTCACTTTCTCCTCATTTGCTGGCCTCTAATTTCACACAGAGCTCGGATTTATTTGGGATCCAAAGGATAATAATTATTACAGAAGAGGAGAGTGAAATGCATAAATATATAGTAAAGCTGTAGTAAAGAGCCAGCAATAGATAAGACAGAAATATGGATATAGAACAAAATGACATCAACTGAAAAAACAAGTGATAAAAGTGCTGCAAATATGAAAATTACGCCTCACAGATGACTTTATAGCAAGACCAATAGTGTATCAAAAAATATGAGTTGCTATCTTGATTTAGAGGAGTAATTGAATGTGTTACTGAATTGTTTTATGTAACTGCAAAGTTGCGTGGATATTATGTTGCGGGCAGCTCATAATATGCAACTAGTTGCATGAAAGTTTCACAGTGTAAAGAAGCTTAATAATCGCAGTTGTAGATACCTGTAATACCCTTAAGACATCTTTACATTGCCATATGTGTTGCAGGGGACAAGTGAGCTGGCCATGAGGTATAATGAGAAAGAAAAAGCTTTTTAAGAAGCTGCACGTGATTCTGCAGTCTTGTTAAAAGTTGTGTAGTGCTGAAGAACGCTCCGAGTACAGCAGATCACAGATGTGAATTGAAAGTGGCATTAGGCTTGTTTTTCTGTTTTGAGGTAATTGCTACAGGAGTAGCTTGCACTGTAAAAGATGAATGACTGAGGTGTTGAGGGGATAATGTTCTTGTGTGCGCATAAATATATGCACATCTTCTCATGCCATTCAGTGTTTCCAGTGCATAATAAATAATAATCAAAAATCAATATAAATAGGAGTGGAAAAATGATTGGAAGGTGGCAGTTCAACTGCATCGGCTTTGGAATGTTAAAATCAATTACAGTCTATATAAAGAAAGAATAATATAAATCTTTATATAGTTTTATATAGTCATTTTATGTATATAGTGCTTTACATGGAGATTAAAGATAAAGGAATAAGAAATACTACATACAGGTAATATAGGTAAGAATTCTAGTATGTTTTAAGAAATGCTGTATATCCAATTATTACAATTTTGTATATAATCAGGTTTGAAAAGAATAATAACTGATTTGGTCAAAAAGCATATTTGTCTCTTTGTATTAATATCATTATCATATTAATGATAATATAGCATTAATATTTCTGTTATGTGCAAATTCCACCCTTACAGTTGTATGAAAAAGTTTGGGAAGCTACTGCCAAATGACACTGTTGATTTTTGAAGGGAAGAGAAGTAAACAAATCATCTGCAGCCAATTATTTTTAATAATGATTAAAATACAAGTTTAATTTTAAACATTAATAATAAAATACATAAAAATACACTACAAATTATAAAAATAATTAAAATGTAGCTAAAATGTGAAAGTTTAAAAAATCTAAATAAAATGAAAGGAGAATAACATCAAAAAGTACACTAAAAATGTATTAATTAGAGAGTATGTATATATACAATGTATTGGTTAGAGAGTAAAAGTTTAAGATCACACCACCTCCACCAGCCTGGACTGTTCACGTAAGGCAGGTTGGGTCCATGGATTCATGCGGTTGGTGCCAAATTCTGGCCCTCAGCCGAAATTGAAATTCATCAGACCCAGCTAAGTTTTTCCAGCCCTTCCAGTTTTTCTGTACCCACTGCAGCCTCA